ATTAAAAATTTTCAGGCAACCGTCTGCATTTAGAATTCTATGTTTTGCAAACAATGTGCCCATAATAATCTGAACTGCCATTACACTGTCATCTCTATTAAGAATTCTTAATTAAGCCAATTTTCAATTCCTTGTTCTACCAACTCAGATTTCTGTTTTCGCTTAACAGTGGCATTCAGAGTACTACAAAAAGGCAATTTAGGTCATCACAATTTTTCATTCATCTATACAATTCTTTTGTAATTGTTCTACATACTTACAAAACTTAAATAATGTACAATAGACTTCATGCTTTTTGAAAAAAAATATTTAAATAAGCACTTTTAAACAAAAATTAAAGTATTTGTATAATATAATATACAATAACAAGTGCACTTGTAACATGGGCCTGTACAAACAAGGCCATAAGGTTCAACATGTCTGGTGAGTAAAAACAACCGTGTAAATCACAATGATTGGCAACTTTGGCCCAAAGAGGTAAACACTGAGTTTGAGCTTTAAGTTTAAAATAAAATGTCCACTCATCCTCATTTTTATCTGAAACAGGACCCTACTCAAAAACCGTGGCGACATGGGCCATCCGAGACAAAACTTTGTATTCAGTCTTTTGAAGTCTTACAGTGCAAGTTTGTTTTTCAGAGATTGCACACGCTGTGTGCATTTCGGACCAATTTCCAGGAAGACATTTTGCAAGGTATCGAAAGTATACCTCAGAGCCTTCGGGTAGGAAATATTCAGGGCATAAAGGAGGCCAAAAAGGTATGCCAGAGCAGTTGGGGTATCTGGGATATCTTGTAAAACAACTGTCTCTTCGAGGATGATGGCAATGTTTTGCAGTTGTGGAGAAGTCCCCAGACCACAGTCTTCACAGACATAAAGAATCCCAACAGCCATGCCCTGGAGAGCCACACCATCTGCATCAGTCTCCTGAGGAAAACAAAAGAAAAAAAAAAAGGATTTTAACACTCACATTGACTTTACAAATCTTTTTTGCCCCCTCCTGTAGCATCAAGACTTGAAAAAAACAGTATCCATATTGTGAGGTTTGATGATGACCCAACAAATGGGACTGGTGGCCCTCTGTGATGGGACAGTTGCTCATGACTACTTACAAGGCATTCTCTGAAAAGATCCTTGGGTTCCTCACGGAGAAATAAAGGAAGTCCTCGAAGAGCAGCTTCTTTACGGTGCCTGAGGATGTCAGAAGTCTGCCAAAAAAGGAAAGCAATGGGGGAATTTTTTATTTCATTTACTTTCTACTCCCATACATTTTTTCCCCAGCAACTACACTGCCCCCAAAAATAAGGGAACAAAAAAACAAAGCAATACAACTCCTAGTCAATCATGATCAAGTTAATATCAGGTAGTTCAGTTGGAGAGCAACACTCATGAATTTATTTTGCCTTCTGTTGTGCACATTTAACAAGCAATGGACAGAAATTAGAGGTAATAACCAAGAAACGCCCCAAAAAGTAGTTACTCATCTTTGGTATCAACAGATTATTTTTATTAGAATTTTTTAAATCTGACGTTTTTGGTCACGTGCATCCTGACAGTTTCATATCCCTGTAGCTACCACAAGGCAGTGCATCACCCACTGAATTAGCTCAGCTAGCCATATGCCAGACAAGTATGTCCCCATTTCCCCATTACACGTTGGGCCTATGCTTCAAAAGCGGCACTGCGGGGAGCAATTTGCATATACCAGAGATCAACATTATTGGCACTTTTACCATCGATGCCCTGTGCCCTTTCAAATATGAGAGCAGCTTCTCGCTGAACATGTGACAGATATGACAAAGTCTGGAGATGCCAAGGAGAGAGTTATGTTGCCTACAACCTCCTTTGTAAAGAGCACCAATGGTGAATTTGCCATTTTCTTATGTTCTCAACAGTGCATATTGATGTGGCATCTTGGATAAGTAGAACTAACCTGAGCAAATTCAGTGGGTGATTGACACTACCTCACAGTAGCCTACAGGGTTGCTAACTGTCAAAATGCACATCTGAGCGAAAAAAAAGAACACAAAGAATGGAGGTGAAATGGTCTGTGGCCACCACAGCAGAATAATTATGGGACATTTTTTGGGGTATTACCTCAAATTTCTATCCATTGCCTGTTAAATTTGCAAAACAATTCATAACTTATTCATAATGAATGTTGCTTCCTAACTTAACCGGCAGATAACAGAAGTATGATTGACCTGGGTTTGCATTGGTGTTTCTTTTATATGTTTTTTAACAGTGCAAGATATGTCCTTAGTGCGTTTGAGTTTTTATTTAATTTTTTTATTTGTATGAGCAGTCTTCAAAAAAGTTAACTATTTCAACCACAACATACCTCATCATCAAGCTTCGCCATGACATCATCCATAGCCTTTCCAAAGGCTGCTTTTCGGGCACGGTACAGACGAAGTAGTTTGGGAGTATATTTGTCCACTGCAGCTCTGAATGTTGTCAACAACATCTTGTTTGTGATGCGAAAAAACTCTGCATCAATCTGTCAAATACACAAAGCAACATATACAAAAAGGCACAAGTCAAACAATGGAAGGGTTCTTAGGATACAGACATGTGAACAGAGGTTAACAGCAGTACCAATTTTGTAAATTCTTACCTGCTCTTTGAAAAACAAAGCAGGCCATCTATCCTGCACTTCGATCACCATCGGCTGATCATCAACAACCTCCCTTCTCCTCAGGGAAAAGGTTATATCCATCGCTTCTCGTATGAATTTCTCATCTTTTTTTCCTTTCTTTGATGCTTCTACCAAGAGCTTTCTTTGCTGTTCAAGTGAGGAATCATCCTGCTGAACTGGATGTTCAGGAAAATGGTTGATCTCACCACGTTTGGCCTTCTTCAGTGTGTATGGTCCAGTCTCTCCATCCATTTTTCGTTTGCTGTTAAGGGAAATATCACTACAACCAGCCAGTCGCAGCTTAGCTCTGAAATTGTTGAACTTGTTCCTGATACTGCCAAGCCATCCATTATAACCGTTGCCGTCGACATCTTTGAGGCATGGGTATTTGGTTATCAAAGCAACTGCAATGGATTCTAGTTCGTGAGGATCAGGATCAGCAATTTTGTCAAGAATGTCTGTCTTAATGTCCCTTGTAACATCAATGCCTTTTTTCGTCTTCTCGTAGGCCTCGTTGCCTTTTCTTAGCTTCAGCTCAACATCAAGGGACAGTGCAGGGATAGGGAACGGAGAGGGCCACTCGAATGCACTACGCAAATTTCTCAAGGTGGTTGGCGAGGGGCTGAGTGAGGTGGAGGGTGAAGGGCCTTTGGAGCTTAAGCTTGCAGTGTCGAGTGATGAGATGGATCCAAGAGACTGAGATAGATCCAAGGGATCTTCATAAGCTGAATGCCCTTTCCACTTAATGTGTAGAATAGCAAGTTCAGGTGGAAGTTCTGATATATGGGACAAATCGCAGCGGGCATTTTGGAAATCAGGGTCTTCAAATTGCAATTGGAAAGCTCCCTGAAGTTGTAGTTTTTCTTTTATGACACCCTTAAGCGCATCCACAGACTCTGGCACTTCAGAAAGTTGGACACGTCTTGCTTCATCAGCAGATAGTATTACCCTTAGCAGCAGTACCTATGAAACAGGATACATTCAGGTTCAAGAAAATACAGTGCTCAAAAAAATAAAATGAGCACCAGAGCAACGCAATGAAACTCCAAGTCAATCATATATCTGTGATATCAGCCTGTCAAGTTAAAAAGCAACTCATTATGAATCAATTTTGTCTACTTTTGGTAATCTTTAACAAGTCATGGATAAAAATTACAGATAACCAAAATATGCCCATCAAAAATATTGCTTGTTACATTTGCATGTCAGTAAGAAATTTACAATATGTGTTGCTTTTTAACTGGACAGGCTGGTATCACAGAAGTATGATCAACTTGAAGTTGCATTTAGTTGTTTATGTGTCCCCTTTATTATGGGGCTGTTTAATATATTATACACAATACAAATACATTAGTCGAATTTATATAATTAAATTTGAAATATTGCAAGACTCACCATGATCCGTCTAACAATGTGTCCTCAGCGTCACCCAGAGCTTTCCTCCAACAAGGTAAGCTGCCAAAGGGTAGTAATGATTCAATTGATTGACATCAACAACCAGGATTTCACCATAGACACTCTCCTCTACTTGAAAAGACCTATAATGCTCAAAGTACCAGGCAACCAGCTCCTTCGACAGGAATAAAACTTTGTGGTGAAAACCAAGCAAAAAAACAAACAAAGAGTTTTTGCCTTTTTGTGCGGTCTAGCACAGTACTTCTCAATGATTTTCTGTTAAGCCCCCCCTAGCAAGAAGAAAACTATCTTACATAGCACAAAGTCCTGGAGGGTTGAGATGTTTTTCTGTTTCAACACATTTGATTCCCATCAATGAAATCTTCATATTTAAAAAAGAGGAACAAGGAACTCACAACAACATGGTACAGTACATCTTTACTCACCGCCTCTAGCAGCCTCACAAAGCTCCTTATGTCTCTGTTTCAACCTCCTCACATCACCAGGCGTTTCTGAACAATGTTAGATCACAACTGATCTAAAATATTCTAACAAACACACATGAGCACAAACACAGAAATACAGCATACCAAGGCCATAAACGTGCTTTATGGTGAAACAGATGGTGCAAAATGAATTAAATAATAATTAAAGAAGATTTCCATAATAAAGTCATAGAGGGAACAATGTCTGTGCTCCTTTTACCTTAGCTTCATTATCTACATTCTTTGCATTCTTTCCCAGCAGATAAACACAGTACCGGTCATGATCTAGTCACTCATTAGACTTCTCTTGTTTCCAAACAGAAGACAAAGGCTGGTCTTTCTGCCAACAGGCCAGTGGAGATCGTCTCTATTTAGTTTATAACAAGCAGAACTCTGGGCTTGTCATGTTACTCTGCTGTTTTCAACTGAGCTTGAGTCCTTTTTGTGTAGCTACTAGAGCCATAGGAGCTCACTTATGCATGTACTGACACCTGCTGATCAGCTAGTTTCTACTCAAAGCACCGTGCTTTGACAATGCTGACCAGTGTTGGCCTGTCAGGAGTGAGCTGAAATAGCTCAGCTGGGAGAGCGTCAGACTGAAGATCTGAAGGTCCCTGGTTCAATCCCGGGTTTCAGCAAAATAGTTCTGTCATATACAAATGCAGAAAAGTTTTACTCTGATGTTCCAAATGATCTGAAGAGCCACTTTGTCCTGTGGTGGGCAGTAAACTTGTTTCCTTCTGACAGCTACTGCCAAAGACAGAACAGTAGATCCTCCACAGCTCTCAAACACTTTCTGCTTTGCTGTCCTCAGGGACTAAGTGGAGACAGGTGTTCCTCATTTCAGGCTAACGAGCTCAGTCAGACTGTGGGCCGCTGGGCTGCAGCTCACTACAACAGGACATTAGTTTATGACATTCATATTTGGACAACGTCAGGCATCAAATACCGAGTTGGACAGTACGCAGCATACAACAAACTTAATAAATTTATTTAGATGAGACATGATAATGATGATGATCAAAATGGGTCTGCGTGCACTGCTTTAACACCATATTACAGATTAATTTGAGTACTTTTTTATGTATTTTATTTTTTCTGTCGAAAGTGACAGACATAAATAAATATTACAATATAGCCAATTAAGGAAGTTTTGTTAGCTGGCCAATATTCAGTCCAAATATTAACCAGGAAGTTCAGGCCAGGAGAGTCAGATTTTCTGGGGTGATAATCCCAATTGGATTTCTGAATCCCTTCTTTCCATCAAGCCCCAACACATAAATATAGCAAAAAGGGAACGGCTACATATATGCATTACAATGCAATCCAATTGAGGAAGGTTTTTTGAGTGAGCCTATATTTAGGCAAAATATTAACCAGGCTGTTCAGCCTAAGTGAGTTCGATATTCAGTCGTGAAGCCCTGATTTTACCCTTTCGCTGATGCCATACACACTAATTTAACCAAAAAGGAGAGGATCAGGGTGATAATAGTTTTTATAGAAGCTGTCCGTATGCTGTGGACTGAGCAACATTTGGATAGATGCTGAAAGACAAAAAGAAGAGAAACACCTTCCTAAGGATTTCAGTCATTGAACAAAGGGATGCTTTAAATCAGCAGATACAGTGAACTCCTTCTTAACTGTTCAAGTGCGACATTAAAACACAAATATAAATCTGCTTAAAGGTGCAATTCACCCTTAGCCCTGGGTATGCTAACATTTAGCTCAATAACAAAAAGTAGTGCCGATTGGACCAAAAGCCTGAACAGGGACTTGAACCCTGGACCCTCAGATTAAAAGTATGATGCTCTACCATCTGAGCTACACAGGCCTGCAGAGAATATCAATCCTGTGGGGATGTACGTTGGATAGAACTGAAAACCCCCTAATGAGGCTGTCAAAGTAAAATGTGATTATTTCACCAATTAAATGCATCCTCTCCCTGATTTGACTGTTTTCTCTGTACAGAATGTCCTTGTCATCAGATGGATACTCTGTTTAATTCTCTTTAGATAATTGAACCACTTTTTTTGTCATGTTTATCCAGTGTTTTTCCTTTTAATATTGTATTTGTCATAAGGGCTCCTCCGGGATTTGAACCCGGGACCTCTCACACCCTAAGCGAGAATCATACTCCTAGACCAACGAGCCACTTTTGCCGCTTAACTGAAATCACGAGAGAAGCCTGAGAAGGAGAGATGGTGCCAGCTGCTCAACACACGCACAAGAAGAGCCTCATCATAATGTCAGTGACAGTTTAGGACAGAGGTGTCAAACATACGGCCCGCGGGCCAGAACCGGCCCCCAAGGAGGTTCGATCAGGCCCGCAGGATAATTTGAAAGTGGAAAAAATGCATAAAAGACATGGAATTAATATTTTTAATTTAGCTGCAATTCATGGATTATCCGCTAGGGGGCGCACTCTTTCCATCAGAGTAGAAGACAAGCCGCATTACTGAGACAGACTGAAAACTCTCCACCTCTCCGCTACACCCTCATAAGCCAAAATGTCGTTATCCAAACGGAGAAAAGTAGATAAGGAGTGTAGAATTTTCCAAGAAAAATGGACCACGTCCTATTTATTTACAGAGATGCACGGAAAACCTTTGTGCTTGGTGTGTTTGCAACAAGTTTCGGTATTGAAGGAATATAATATTCGACGCCACTACGAGACTCATCACAGCGAAAAATATGACGGGTTGCAAGGACAACTGAGAAGAGAAAAGATTAACGAATTGCTGGCGGGTCTGAGGAAACAGCAGTCGACTTTCATCCGGAGCCGAGAAGTCAGTGAAGCAGCGGTAAAAGCCAGCTACCTAATTGCTAGCGAAATAGCATTAGCATCGAAGCCGTATTCCGACGGTGACTTTGTTAAACGATGCATGATGAAGGCGGCTGAACTTGTATGTCCCGAGAAGCGACAAGCTTTTGCCAATATTAGCCTGACGATGAATACTATAGCAGAGAGGATTTCGGAACTAT